GCATGGGGTCGTCGTAGAGAAGTTTAACTTCAATTTATAATTTAGCATCAAAAACTTAATATGGTTGTTTGCAGCCTTGAATAACACACTTAAAAAAATCAAACTTTTGCTCCATTTTGATAGACTCAAAAGTCAACATTTTTTTTCTCAAAGTCTGTGTGTAAGTTTTATTTCATGTAATTTGTTTCACTCACAAGTTAAATTTAAGGACATAGAAAATTACAGTACTATTTGGGGGAAATTGATTATTATTGAAATTATTGTCCAAGCACAATGTCTTGAGAACAAATCTAGGTCCTACCAGTTGAGGAAAACTACCTGTAAACATACCACTTTGCTCTTTAAGAATTAATATGCTTCTATACATTTAAGTAAAATATTATTAGACTTGAATGGCAGTAGATACCTAGGGAATACAAAGTTTTCCCATTTGCCATGCAGACATTTGAAGCAAACCTATTTCGGACTGAATATTCTCCTAATAAGAAGTCAAATGTAGTTTAACAAGTTATTACTTAATTGGGCCCAGTTTTCTCATGTATAAATTGAGGAGTGTGAAGGGAGTCACTTTCAGTTTGAAAAGTCGATAGATTTATTTACCTTGCAGACATGTCACAGATGAACATTTATCGTAGTGAGAGTAACATAATTTTCCTTGATATTACTTATCAGAAAGGTTTTTGAAACTTTTCAGCTTAAGTGTACGCTACCACATTAGCAGTGACTATTACGATTCTCATTTACTATAGTGCAAAGAAAAAGGTAATTTTCATCTTTTCCAATTCATACATATGTATCAAAGAAGAATTAATAGTACTTGTTATAATATTGGGATTTAGCAACCAGAATTGACACAGCATTTCCATTTTGGGGAATTGGCCTATGCATGTGTCAAGATCATGTAAAGCACTGATGGCTATTATTATATCTAAGAATTAGAAACAAGTAATTGTTAAAATGGAATGTTTTAATAAGGGTAAAATGAGGTAGATCACTAATGTAGAAAAGCCACATAACACATCCCTGAGAAATGCAAGGTGAAAAGACATATCTACGTTGCAATCCCATTTCTGAAAATAAAGTGATCTGAAAAGTTTTTACATATATGATATATATATATACCTATACACTGGCATCTACATACAATTTTTTACTAGATAGTTATAAAGTACACAGAGATTCTCCCAGCCCCAGTTGGCACAGGTCACCTTTGGAGAAAGATAATGGGACTTGGTGGGTTCCTTAAAGTTTGTTAAAGTATTTAGATAAAGTTTGTGACTAACTTATGGTTTGAAGCCAGTGTAACTTTTGTAACAATGTCACAGAGAGAAAAAGAAATTGAATTATAGGTCCGCTTATAGATACCAAAAACCCCAAACAAATTTTTATTTTGTTTAAATTCTATAAATAAAATTTAACCCAAACTGAAAATGGGCTAAAAATAATACACCATCCCAAATATGGATTTCATCAAGTATAAAAGGATAACAAGAAAAGAATATTGACTAAACTGTTACTATAATTAATCACATTCATGATCTAAAAAGCAAAAGAATGTCATTATCTCAGTAGATACAGAAATAGTAAGTGATAAAGATTAGCTGCTATTTATGTTATAAATAAAAACTCTATAAAAAATGATAATGGAAGGGAACAGAAGTATTTGTGGTAGCAAAGCATTGAAAGCAAAACCAAGCTATGCATTTATAATGGTGTACTCTGCACAAGCCACGCACAGAGCCAAAATGTATATGTAGCAAAATAGACAAGCATGAATGAGACTAATGCCATAAGGCTTTTATAGGAAAATAATACGCACACAAAAGCAGCAGCAATATATGTTCTTCAAGACCATATACATAACATCCATACACTTGGCCTGGAAGGGAAGGACATGAGGTAAATACAATAAAGAGAGTCCTCTGCCCAAAAATCTGAAATAGTCCTGAGAACGTGGGTTGGAAAAGGCAAAAAAAAAACAAAACAAAACAAAAGAGGAGTTTGCCCTGGCCAGTGGTGATATGAGGTCATGAACTGAATGAAAAGTATGATCGAAGAGATAGTCTTTGCTATTCTAAAATAATCACGCAGTACATATCATAATCAGCATAGTTCCTACAACATAACCAACAAAAATAAAGTCTTTCTGTTTTTGGATTAGTGGGGACTAAATGCAAAAAATGTAGGGACATAACAGAGGGGCCAGGCGCAGAGACCTAAATTACTTATCACTTCTGCAACCTCAAGGTAATCACTTAGCACGTTGTGCCTTGAGTTTCTTAATCAGCAAAATGGGCAATCCTATTTACCTGCCTGGGCTTTTTGCAGAATCCATGTGACCATACATAACCCGAGAAGAGAATAAATACCTAGCACCAGTAGGTGTTTCAACAAGTATTTGTTCTCACCCCCACCCCCGCATACCATACAGATCTCTCATAGTTAATACTCTTCCTGTTGGAAGATCTTTAGAAAAGACTGCAGCTAGTCCTACAAATCTTTACTGGCTTATACTCACCAAATTCTTCAGAAAATATTTCATTCTTCAGGCCTAACTCTCACTTACAGAGCCTATGATGAAGCTACTTATGATGCCAAATAGGACCGATAAAAAAGAGGGAAAATAAAACCAGAAATAGTGTATGTGAAGAATCAAACATGAACTTATTTAGTCTGCAAGCCTTGTAAGATAATATTAGTTTTGTCATAAAAAGAACCTGATAAATGGTGCTGTAATTTCACTTTAGTCTTTTAGACTTAGTGAGTATATTATCATCTACATATGCTTTATAATTAACAATGGGACTGCTATTTTCTTCCATAATTGGTGCAGGTATTGAGATATCTGATGGGCTTCATCCTCTATAGTTTTTTTCTGCTGTGTCCCCTTTGCTATGATGTTCAAATTTTATAGAGTTCATATTTTTCCTGCTGTTGTTTTACATTCCTACTTACTGTTTGTTCATAGGATAAGGAGAAAAGAGCTGAAATGAGCTTTTATATAAAAGATTGGCAATGATGCTCTTAAAACAACTATTTATTTAGTTTCTAGTACCATTCATGGATTTCAACAAGGTGTATGCAATTCTACCTAATATCACGAATAGGTCTCATTTATACGGATGTTGACTCTATGAAATAGTAGAAGGAATGTTTCATCAAAAGTCAGTTCAAGGTTTATAAGGCTTGGTTATGTTCAAGTTCTATGACAGTCTGTGTCTATTAACCAATCAGAATATTGCAGTCCACTTTTGGGATTCTGGTGAGAATCATGTACTTAGCGTATGCAGGGTAGAAAAGACCAAGATTTCAAGATTTTTTTTTTTTTCTTTTTAAATCACTACCAAGACACAGTGAATATTAAGACTTGATGAAGTTGGACTGGGAAAGCTAAAGCCATTTCATGGTACCTAGTGTACCTTAGAAAATAGAAGTGTTGGCCATTGCCTTGCTAAATTATGGTCTGGCCATGTGTTCTTTGAGCTATGGCCAAGCTATGGCCAAGCGGTGTTTTCCTAAGCTTTGTCCCCCTCCTTTACCTAGGGGAGGTGAATCTCCAATCTTTCTCTTTCTCATTTACTTTCTAAATAAACTCTATTTTCCAAAAAAGAAAGGAAGGAAGGAAGGAAGGAAGGAAGGAAGGAAGGAAGGAAGGAAGGAAGGAAGGAAGGAAGGAAGGAAGACAGACAGACAATAGTAGTGTTATGCAAACAGTTGTCATGAATTTATTTTCTCTTTCAATGCCTGATGGGAAAACGTGCTGCTCAGCTAAAGAACTGCAGTGGGAATAATGATCTTTCAAGAAGTCTTCAAACTGAGTGCAAGTATTTAGTTGAAAAGTACACTGCCTGTTTTGAGAGTCAGTGTTTCCTTCTGACAAGAAATATCATTGAAGCATACTGATGTTAGCAATTTAGGGATTTAAAAATCATCATTTTCCTTGAAAACCCGGCTGAAAAAAAATATCGATCTTGGTGTGGGACATCAGGTCTTTTACAAAGCTTTTCTCTGATCAGACCGCTTATTACCATTCCACCTGAGGACAGACAGGAGGGAGTAAGCCAACAGGACTTTTGACAGTGTTCTGGCCAGCCCACTAGATTTCACTTTTCAACTTAAAATGGCCCTTCTCAACTTCCAGCCAATCTCAGTTTGTTGATGTTGTTTGGTTGGTTGGTTTTGTTTTTTTCCTCCCACTACCTAGATTTTTATATATGACCTAATTATAAAGTTGTAAGCACAGATGAAAGTAGCATAATTTGAAATGCCTTAAGTGTCTTGCTGTTATAACAGTGGTGCTTCATTTTTGTTTTTGCTTTTTATTGTTCTAATTTTCTTTTAGGATCCTTTTCGACCTAGTTACTACAGGTGGTTGGGTATGACAGAAAGTCATATTATATTTAGAATTCATATTATATTTAGAATCCAACACTATTCAAACTAGATGGACCCTATACACCTACTCGAAGTCCTGTATTTTACAAATGAGGTATCAGACAATTGAGAGGGGAAATGACTTAGCTGATTGCTGGCAGGTCCATGTCCAGAATCCAAGTGTCTTGCTGAAGAGAGTTTTTTTTCTTTTACATCTAACTTCCTTGTTGTATTCCCAACTTATACAATGACATTTGAGCAGATCCTAATAACAAACTCTTTGTGTGGACTTCCCTAACTTCCTGGTTGATGACTTCAAGTGTTTGACAGTACATATGACAATATAATTTAGCCTGTTACTGCAAAGATGACATCCTGTGAATACTGCTTGATTTTTCCACAAAATTATCCCTGAAAGGAATGTAGCTCTCTGTGGATCCACAGCTTCGATGGTCTTCCTTTGAAATATACCTGAAAATGTCATTCTCACCATTAGTTAAAGACAAATGCCAAATATGGTAACACAGTTATAATTGCTAATTATAATAACCATATGATCTTTTTTTTCCTCACCGCTGTGATGTTTCTCACACGTGCTGATCTATCCATCCTGTTTTGCTATTTTAGGTTTGTGTGCTGGAGAGGCAAATATTTGACTTCCTTGGATATCAGTGGGCACCTATCCTGGCAAATTTTATACACATTATTATCGTCATTCTTGGTTTATTTGGAACTATTCAATATAGACCTCGTTACATAACAGGAGTAAGTATCTGTTCTGCTCTTTTTTTTATCTTAATGAACTACAGAGAGATATGCAAACTACCAATCTTTTGAAAAATTATGTGTATATCATGTCTTAAGGATATGTGTACCCTCTTTTAAGCACTATGTGTTTATTTTTATAGTTTCAGATTACATCAACAGTAACAGAAATGTCAAGTTTAAAGCACTTGATAATGAATGCAATCAGTCTGTGTTTTCATCAATTGTACTTTCAGCAAATATTCTCTTAATCATTACAAGCAGAACCGTGTTCTTATGTTCTAAATTGTAAAGTCATGGCCTCTGATCTAATAGATTTTAATGGGAATTTTTTTTTCATTTTAAGAAATCACATTTTATGAATTGAACAAAGATAGTTTAAAGTAAATACAAATGAACATATACTACTTATGGGAAAATATTAACACAAGAAATTAATACAAATTTGGGGGCTATATTTGACATACTTGAAAGCTAGAATATTCTAGACCATTGTCTCTGTGTTCTCCATAATTCTTTTTTTGGCTGAAAGGAAATATTTTGCATTCCCACTCAAGTTAAACTTACTTAACATAAAAGTGAAATCCAACTGTGTTGCAGTTGCTATGGGAACCATAACTCAGGGTTTTTCTTTTTTTTACTTTTGTATGTGCCTCAGATCTCGGCTATTGCTCTTCATTAATGTCGTTTTTTTTTTTTTTTAAGTTTCATCATTTTGTTCTATCTCTTCTATTTTTGACTATAAAAGAAAAAAGAAAAGACTATAGGCATTTATTTAAAATTGTAAAGCAAGTTTGTGGTAAAGGCACGTATGGAAGATAGTGCCATGAAAGCTCTACTTTGTTCAGTTCAAACCAGCAGGCCTCTCAGGCTATGAAAGCCTCCTTCTCAGAAAAGGTGCTCTCCTCTGACCTAGTCCCTCTGTCATCTGAAACCTAGATAAAGTTCTCTGGTTTTCAGATAAGGAATGGGCTAAGGCTGGACCCAAAAGATCTACTCTCTGGGAAAAGAGGACTGGGAAGCTGCCAGTCCTCACCTCCTGGTGCATGCCCAGACCCCAGTGTGTCACCTCTGAGGCTAAGTAGCCATCTAAATCTTGTAAACAGCGGGAGGTGTCCTGTCGCAGGGTGAAGTTTTTCAAGGCCCATGATATGATAGTAATGTCCTTTTTCTTTTATGAATTGTAATTTGATCCAGTGTAGGGAGGATTGTGCAGTGGTTGGGAGCAGATCCTCTGAGGTCGTGATACTGACTGACATCTTGGGTCTGCCAAATTCTGTGTGACTTTGGACAATTTCGCCTCACCAATCTTTAGTTTTTTAATCTTTAAAACAAAAGTAATAATTGTCTTAACTCATAAAGCTTTGATGAATTGATATATTGTTAAATATTATATGAAAAATTCTTAATTTATCTTTTCAATTTCTTAGTCTTTGAGGTTCCTTCTGGATTTTATTCTTCTAAATAATGCTGCTCCAAATATCATCGTATAAATATCTCATTTTCATTTCTGATAAAGTTCTTGGGATAAAAATCTAGGCCTGATTTTCAATGTTTGAACCATTTAAAAACTCAGAGGCTAAGCCAGGCTCGGTGACTCAGCCTGTAATCCCACGCTTTGGGAGACTGAGGTGAGTGGATTGCCTGAGCCCGTGGGTTCAAGACCCGCCTGGGCAACTTGGCGAGACCTCATCTCTACAATACATCAAAAAAATTAGCTAGGCATGGTAGCACGTGCCTGTAGTTCCAGCTAGTCGGAAGGCTGAGGCGGAAGGATCTCTGGAACCCAGCAGGTCCAGTCTGGGCGACAGAGTGAGACTCCAACTCAAAAAAATAAATAAATAAATAAAAATAATAATAATAAAAAATAAATAAAAATAAAATCTCAGAGGGTAGTTTTGAGAAGTAGAATATTCTGTGAAACCTCATGAACACAATGCTTGCTGTTTAAAAAGTACTCAACAAATATTAGCTATAGTAGTTGTCTTATTATCATATAGCAATAGACTGAAAGGAAATTATTTTAAAGATGTTTCAGATATTGGTTGAATTATTTCTTTCCCTTTTATCGAAGATGCTACAACTCTTAAACATTTCGTGGGATTGCTATGTATCAAATTATAATTTTTTTTAATTTTTAATTTTAAATATGGGGTACAATTCAAGGTTAAGTATACAAATGTTTATTATTCAGGTACACTTGATGAGGTGTGCCCCCTCTGCCAACCACCAGGCAGAATCCCACTACTGCCAATCCTGCCCCCTTCCATCGCCCTTCCCCAATTTTCCACCACTGACAATCCTTTCAAATTATAATTTTATCCCTTTGAATAAAAATGTGTCCACAGGTCTTTCAGATACAGGGAAGGGATGAGTGAGATTGCCTGGTCATATTACCTTTTAAATTTAAGATTCTTAGAACTTTTGTGCAGCTGAGATTATTAGACACAATCTGAAATATTTCTGGGGTCTTGACAATGTGTCTGAGAGCTACACCCTTGATTTGATCTCAACCTGTAGACAGCACTCTGAATTTATTTTTTGTTTGCTGTTTTTTGTTTTGTTTTTCCTTAAGACAATGTCTTACTCTGAGAATCTTTTGTCAACTAGACGCAATATAAATGAGAAATTATGTCCTTTAAATTCTGCTTGAAAATCATCTTTTAGTTCATTTCTCTCTTATAAAATCATGTTGTCTGTGACTAAAAGAGGACAAATAGCACTGACCGCAGTTTGCTTGGAAATCCCCTTAGCCAGACCCACAAGTTCATAGGTATATTTTCTATCTTCCTAGTTATTGCAGGCAATAGCCAAGATACTTGTTCTGGCAGTAATTACGATCAGTCTTCTCCAGCACTCAAAAATATTTCCTCACTGTTCCTCCTCTCTCCATTCACAGTTTCCTGGCTACCCTTCCAGCCTCACTCACCTCCTTATCTCAAAACCAATACTACGTGTTTTAGGTTTGTGTTACCGTATCACACTCTTGCTGGTATCAGTTGCTGCTCTAAGTATCTATTTCTGTGTAATTTCTGTGCAACAAACTACAGCTGACTCATGGACACTTTGGGGGGTAGGACACCAATCCCTGTGTAGTCAAAAATCTGCATATAACTTTTATCCCCCCAACACTTAACTACTAATAACCTACTCTTGACTGGAAACCTTACCACTAGCATGAACAGTTAACACATAGTTTGTATGTCACATGTGTTATATACTGTATTCTTAGAAAAAAATAAGCTAAAGAAAAGAAAATGTTATTAAGAAAAATCACAAAGAGACTATATATATATATATATCATTCGTTAAGTGGAAATGGATCATCATCAGGTCTTCACCCTCATTGTCTTCAAGTTGAATAGGCTTAGAAGACAGAAGAGGACGAGTTGTTCTTACTGTTCCAGAGTGGCAGATTCAGAAGAAAACTTGTGTGTAATTGGAACCATATACTCACGTCTATATTGCTCAAGAGTCAAATATGTCTTTGAGTAGTTATACTATGAAATCTAATGGCCATGGTCTGATGGCCATGATGCCATGATAGTTGAAGACCAAAAATGGATTCAGGAAAATAGAGAACTCGATGACAAAAGAAAGTACACTTAAAAGACACTTAAATGGAATCATAAATGACAGAAATTCTTGTCAATGAAAGATTTGGATTTCAAAAAAAATACATGATTGGGGTAACCTGCAACCGACAATAACGTATTGCTGCAGTCAAGAAATTTCCAAAGGCTTTTTCTGTATACTGGAGACTTAGATTTAACAATTAAATTTATTCTCCTCTCCTCTAAAAATATAGGCCTTTATGATTTTTATATGTACCGTTTATACTTGAACATTATGAAATAACTCAATAGGAGAATAAGCAAATACTTTCCATAATTTCATGACTGAAATTTATTACTGTTTTTGCATGTTTCTGTCATATGCATACAAATGAAACATGTCTGATCATGCTATATATTCAAGTATGACTTAATTATTTTATTGAGCATTATGTCAAGCAATTTTAAGATTAATATAACTATTCCATTGTTCATTTAATCCATTAACGTACATTATGCTACATGAGTTTCCATGATCGATAATCCCCTCTAATCATCCTGAATAAAATATACTCTTATCTTCATTTGTGAATTATTCCTTAAGAGAAGCATTTACAAGTAATCAAATCATATGAACAATTTTAAGACTTTTAGCATATACTTGACAATAACCTATCCAAAGTTATTTTACTGAATTTCCTCCTACTAATGTATAGTTGAGTCTTTTTTACTGCCTGGTTGCTAACCCTGTATATTATCTGTTCTAATACTTGGTCATTTGATAAGAGAAAAAAAAAACTGTCATTTTTGTTTTAAATTGTATTTCTTATCTTTAGGGAATTGTACTTTTTCACATGTTCATTACCAATTTTTATTTCCTCTTGGATATTTTCCATTTATTTTAAAATTATAAAATTTAAGTATCATTTTGAAAGAGATAAGGTTTCATTATCCCTATCTCTAATTTTATTATAAAAGAAGATTTCCTGAAATTGAGTCTACAGATATTTGCTATTTTGAAAGAGTTTCTAATGATATACAGGATATTTTGTTGTGTTTAATTGATCCCCTACCCCCCCAAAAGCATGTAGACATTCTCTCAAGCATGTAGACATATCACTCAATAAATAAAAGAGAATATTGTTAATTATTTTTGTTTTCTTCACTATCCTTTTTTAAAGTAGCAAGGAAGAAAAAAACTAAAATTTTAATTTCCGTAAGGGTGTCCCTTGCATTTTCTAAAGTCCTTATAGTTTGAGGTTTTACGATTAGGTCTTTGATCCATTTAGAGTTGATTTTTGTGAGTGGTAATAGGTAGGTGTGTTGTTTTAATCTTCTGCATGTGGTCAGCCAGTTTTTCCAGCACCATTTACTGAATAAGTTCACCCCTCCCCATTAATTGGTGGAGACTTTGTCAAAGATGAGTTGGTTGTGAATTTGAGTTTT